AAGCCTGGACGTCTGAGGCTGCAGCGCCCAGCCTTCCCGACTGCCGCGCTTCGATTCACCCCCCTGCCTGGTACCTCCGCTCCTCGCACAGCGCGTTGTGAAAGCTGAACCCGGCGGAGAAGGATCTGGACAGTAAACAGCAGATAGAAACGCATTCGATCTTGGCTTTACGGATCGTTTATAAACTCTTCTTGTATGAAATCCGTACGTCCACCTTGGAGGACACCTGCTCCACGCTGCCTGAGGTAAGACCCATTTCCACAGGCTGTCCAAAGGCAGCTCTGTGTGTTGGCAGAGCCAAAGCAGCTTATCCAACATCTCCGTAGTTCTCTTGCGGATGACAAAGGCAGCACAAGATGAGCGGCACAGGCGAGCGAGGGCATGTCACCGCAGTATGGGGGTGACGACCAAGGAGCCACGTCCCTGTGCGAGGAGCCAGGCCAAGGCTGCGAAGCCAGGGCACGGGGAAGGTGAGCTGCCGTCGTGGCCATCTGGGAGCTGAGTGCTTGCTGCAGGCTGCTGTCCACCGCGGCAGGCGGAGTATGGGTGCTCTTAGGGCAGAGGTTTACAAGGTTGTTACCATGGCTCTCCTCAGGCGGTGAAGTTTGCCCGCGCTGCCTGAACAATAGCTGGGCTTCGGAATGGGCTTCCCATCCTGGCTGTCCATCACGTCCGTTCGCTGACCCCACACGCCACGAGACAGGTATGAAATGTCAAGCAGAAAAGAGACCTTTAGTAAGGCTTTGGGCAAAACAGCTCCGGAACGCTCCCGTTGCGCACGAGGGCGGGCTCTGGCATGTGCCTGCTTGCTCTGCCTGCAGATACCCTGCATGGCTTGCCCCAGAGACCCACGCTGCTGGGAAACATGTAAAGGTCTAATTTGTCAGTTTGGTTCAAGTCACAGCATAGATTTACCCTTTATTCTGTAATTATTATTTATTGGTGTCTCCCCAGGCGAGGGCAGCAAGTGCTGAACACTAGCCAACGTCTGTCGGAAGTGTTAGTGATTTGGGGTGAGTTAGAGCCCACCTTTGAACCACAGACATCTGAAAAATGAACAACAAGAAATAAAATATTTTCCCTCTGAAAGGAGAAGCTGTGTGTTAGGATTGTATTAGGACTTGAAGTGAAAGGACTTCAAACCTTGGTTATTAGCTTACCAGGTGTGTGTCTTAGGCACAGGGAAATGATCCGCTGAGCAGGGACTCCACTACAGCGTCGCGTCTCCACGCAGGAAACGTTGCGCGTGCTTTTTCTGGACGATGAGCCAGGAACAACCACTTCCACGCCAGGGAAGAAAAACGGCTGCGTGGGTACGTGCGGAGGGACGGCTGGGTCCGCTCTGAGGTGGTCTGGGCTCTGGTCCTCCCCGAGCACCCCGTTGCTGCCGGCGCAGCGTGGGTGCGTCCTC